GGAAGTTATTTATAAATATTTCAAGAAAATATTATAATCAGGCTAGTAAAATAGCCAATAAGTAAAATTTTCGCAATCATAAAACTTTATTATAAAAGTAAAATTTAATTTTATTATTTCATACACATACGTTTTTTCCCAAAAAAAAATGTGGACTTTATTCAAGTGTTTAGTAATTCATAAAAGTGTTCGATTTGAAAAACTATCTTGATTTTCATGGTTTAAGACTAAAGAGATTTAATTTGGCACACCTTTAGTATGTATAGTTGTATTTCTAGTAGTTTAAAATGTGTTTTTCTCAGTTTTTCTTTAACAAATAAATTAAGATCAAAGCTGGATTAGAACATTTTTGTGTACATTTTTATTTTATTTTAAAGGGGTTGCTTCACTGGAATGGCAACCAAGAGACCAAGTCAGATGGGTCTAATGAAGTGCTTTGGGATCGTTTCTTTATTAATGACCACGATTCTGACTTTGCCTCAACCGCAGACTTCTGTGTGTTGCTTTTCGCCTCTCCTGGCAACCGAATCGTATCAAATTTCCATCCATCCGCCATCGCTTTTCCGCTCCCCAGTTCCCCAGTCGGCCAAAAGCCATCAGGCCACGGGCAACACTCGAAATTTATGTACGCTGCTCCCGCTCGCTGAAAGCAACACGAAAGTTAATTAAACTTGAAAATAATAAAAGCAAAGCGGAGCAGAACAGGAGCAGAAGGATATGGATGGGGATGTAGATGTGGATGTGGACGCGGACGTGGATGCGGACGTGGATGTGGATGTGGATGTGGACGTGGATGTGGCGAATAATGAAACACAAAAAGTGTACATCACAGCCAGCGGGCACCGAATGGCGGACACGGGCCCTGGAATCGGCTGGGGATTGTATATACATCCGCAGATATATACGTGTGTATATATGTATGTTCGGGGGAAGGTACGGAGGTCGGTGGTCATCATTAGCATATCGCCGACAGCGGCGCGAAAAAGGGTTCCCATTTGAAAAGTTAATCGCCAGCTGATGCTGCACTGCGATTGCGAGTGGGAAGCGGCCAGGGGCGGTGGTGAGGGGCGAAAAAAGGGGTGACGATGACTGCGTTGACACTGACAGCCGCCCGAAAACCCCCAGAACGACCCACCGAAGGCCATATCCCTGTCGTCGGACGTTATCTGCGGACTGCAATAAAAACGGACAATAATTAAAACTGGCAAATAGAACTGGCACACTGCGCCTGTCCCACTGCACAGTTCCCAAAAAATCGGACAAAAAAATATCTTTAATTATAAAAGCCATTTTCTTACTGGAATTTTAAATTCAATTTTCGAAGTATTCGTTTCTCTGTCAACATAAAAAATCTGTTTATTAATATAATGCCTATAATACCTTTTATGAACTCTTACCATTTCATAATATTGTATCTAGCTAGCTTTATCTGTCATGTATTTTAAAATCATATTCAATATTTTCTATCACTTTATAGGTCTTATAACTGTTAATGATAAGACCTGAATAATCTGTGTTAATGAATTATGAATGATTTTAATTGACAATTTAAAATACCAAATAAAAACACATTAGATAATTCAATTTCATTTACATTCAGAAGATATAATTATAAACATTAAATCATACATCATTATTAAAATTTAATTTTTTTCTGGATTTCTAATATTGCTGGTTTCAGTGCATTCAGGATTGATTAAGCCCAAAGGGAAATTGTTCTTTTGACTAAATACTGATAGCATGTTAATTCAAAGGGCCTCCTTTGAGCATTTTAAGGGATTTCTTTTCCAATATTTTTTCAAGATTATTCCTTTCATTCCTTTTCTTTTCCTTAACTCGAATACAAGGTATGGGCATTACCACAAAAGTCTTGCCCAACATTCATTAACAGTCTGCAGTCATCCGCCTAACCCTTTTTTGCTTAATCAACAAAAAATTGTGTACTTACAAATACATATAATTCGTACAGTGCGTTTCAGAAATATACGGTGTTTGAATATTTGCCTGGGGGTTGTTCTAGAAGATAAATAATAGAATTCACTAGGAGTTGAAAACAATTTTGTTAATGAGCCTTATAGGTTGTTTGGATTTTAGAGGATCTAATTTCTAAACGTCTATACACTTCTGGCTCGGACTGTACATGAAAAAACTTATCACATTTTCCGGTTTGCTCGCTGTTTGAATTACTGCAGGTCCGCCTTTGCTGGCCGCCTGTTTTTCTTTTTTTCCAAACAAATAACCGTAAAAATCTTTGCCATCCACATCAGTCGTAAAAAGGGGATTTCATTTTAATTACATACGAATTTCTCGTTTTTTTAGCCTCAGATTCATTTTCAGCTTCAGATTCAGATTCAGGCTTTTGCTTTTTGGGTTTTGGGTTTTTTGTGTGTGCTCGGTGAATGGGTGCGAGTGCATCGGCGGATGATATAGAGAGTGCCTAACCCCCGAGCTTCTTTGTGAAACGCTTTCCGCCGTGTGTTGACTTTTATAATTAAGCCCTTTGTGTACATTTCCAGTTGACGGCACCCCGGGGGCTGGGGAAGATCCACCCCTGAGTGCTCACCTGGGCGGAGGTGGGGGGTGGGCATCATAAAAAGGATTAATTGTGCGCAATTAAAGAAAATATATTACCAAGTCGGGGGCCAAGTTTCGTAACGCTTTTTTTTTTGGCCTTGTCCCTCTCTCGGATTCGAAAAGTTTGCCACCATTGAATTATGCAAAATCATTTAAATGCGTCGACTCCGAGAAAAGTTTTGCCAACATTTCTCCGCCGACTTAACCACTTTGGCATGTGTCTCAGAATCTTATTGTTATTGTTCTTGTTGTTTGTCGGGGGGGCTTAAGTTCATAATGTTCATAGAGAGCATTGCGTTCCGCCTGGGAAAAAGGGCTCGAGTGGGTGGTGTCCCGATCACAATTGCCAGGACAATGGAGGCGGCATCCCTTACCCTTCCACATGCGTTCCCGGGTTAATTGCTCAAGTTCAAAATTAAAATATTTATTACAATGAAAAACTTTGGCACTTTCGCGACGCCAACGTGACGAACAAAAGGCGGCTTACGAGTAAGTGCCCCACCCCCAAAATTCCCATTCCACATGGGAGTTGTTTAATTTGTTTTCCGCTTAGTGATGTTTGCCCGAGTGTGTGGAGTGTGTTGGATGTGTGTTGGATGTGTGGCGGCGGAGTCCCTTTCAAAGGGGGCACGGTGCTGGCACACCGGAACAATGGAACTTGTCATAAATTAAATAGTATCACGAGAGCGCAGAAAAGCCTCTTTCTAATTGACACACAAACTGTACTTCCATTGTGTGCCTCCCTGTCATTGGTTTATGTTTAAGGCAAACGAGTATTTGCTTTTAGCTTTACCGTGAGTCAATATTTTGGTGCTCAAGAACAAACAATTCTTTCAGATAGTTGGCAATTCTTCTATCAAAAAATTTAATGGGATTTTTGTTTCCTATAAATTTTACTAAAAGCTGACAAGAAAATATTTTAAAAACGTATTTTTAAATTAAGAAAATTTATAATAAAGCCAAAACTTTTTGTTCAGTATATTTTTTTTATAACAAAATTAAACTGAAAAACTTAAAATAAATCTTAAATAAGAGTTTTAAAATTAACTTACAATAATAAAACTGAATTTTTTTTTAAATAATTTTTTTCATACGGATATCATACTTATTTTTAGGGTAATACAGTTAGGTTAAATTTCAACCCCTCGGTTATTTTCTCTTCCTTTTTGTAAGCAGCCACAAAATGATATGTTTGCCTTTGATTGAATTTATTGTTAGCAATGCGATTATTCGGGCCCAGTCCTTGGGGTGCTGAGATCTCCCCACTTAATAAGCTCTGTTCCCAACCTCTGGTGGCTGGCCATTAGAACAGGTGTTGCCTGTGGCTTCACTTCCCTTCAATCTGCCGGTTAGATATCGCAAGGGGAAGGAGAAAATCATGTTTGCCAACGCTTTAAAAATGTAACATGCGGCGCTTTTTCATCATCCTTTGCCTCGCTTTCCCCCGATTTTCCCCAACCATCTGCCCAACCTCGCCTCGATTATCATTTGAGTGTATTGAAAATTTGAAACGCATGAATAGTCAGGTTAGATCGTCCTGGGGCTAAATACGTATGTATAGGATAGCCGGGTCAGACGGCCACCGAGTCATTCCAAGGGTTTATCTGCGCGCTTCAGTTGGGTTTTTCTGGGGGAGTGGGCGGATATGAAGGATGGCGGATATGGCCAAACACATCCGTTGGCAGATGTTTTTCACATAGCTCAAAGCACACTCACCAACTCAGCCCCACATATCGCTATACCCTTTCGAATCAGAACATTATTTGATAGACAGACTAAGGGAGTTACATTTTAAGTAAATATTATTTCAGAAAATAATATAAGAAGCGTATGTCGTAAGTATGTCTAGGTAATCCAAAGGTTTAAAATAAGCTACAAAATAATATTGTCCTTAAGGATAACTTATATTCCAATAATAAGACGTATATATATTCATATTTTTCTTTATTTCCTTGTTTGCAACTGAGAAACATACCATACTCACCATTTATTTATTAAAATAAAAAAATCTACATTTTAGCAGGGCTTTAATGTTATTAAAAATGTTTTTCTTATAAAACTAGGGTATTGCTAATATCGGATGTCTCGAGAGCTTCGCAATGCACCCATTAACTTTAGCGCTGCCCAGAATGAGCAAGTGTAGCGGAAATGATTTGGTAGCCCCGGTCCCTAGACACCCCGATCCACTCAAGCCTCTTCGCTCCCTGGTGGATCAAATTTTCATCTTCACTTACGAGTTCTCGGTGATTGAAAAGTGTTTTCTTCGTTGTGTTGCTATAAATTCATGTTTCCTATTATATTTATCGGGTGGGTAACAGGCTGAATGGATTCGATGTTTGGGGGTCGTTAGATTCGGTCCCCAATGCTGTTCCTAAAAACTTCTAAAAAATCATTTCCATCCCACTTTGGAAAAATAGAAACATGAATATAATAGTTTATATTTTATTCAGCGTAATAAATTTATTCAGATTTACAATGATATTTTTTGGTTAACAAATTATTCACCACTTTCTCTTTAAAAGATAAAAGATAGCAAATGGTGATGAAACAAAAAGAAGCCGTGGCAATGTTATTTCCATACTTTTTTCTTGAATGATGTGCACCAAGTCGTCCACCTTTGGAATCTCTTGGGGATTCTGCATTGAATATATTGTGCGTCCCTCTAAAGTTACTTCAAAAGCGTCGGTCTGTATTAAGTACTGTGAAATTCGTTAGTCATAATTATTCTTTTTTCTTAAATTTCCTAATTTTAATGCCTTACCAAAAAAATTAAACCCAATAGTACGAGTAAAGCATTTGTTTTAAAGTTCCGGAAACTTCTGATCAATCGCTTGAATTCTATGAAGGCGAAGAAAAGTAAGGCCGCCGAGAGGTACAAGGCATTTGAAGGTTTAAAAAATACATTAAACACACGGTACTCCGGAAGCCTCTCTTGCAGTTCAATTGATATATTCTCATATTTATCAGAAAAGACAAAACTGAAAATAGTTTAAAACAGAAAAAGATTCTTACACTTTTAAGGCTTTTGTTAAATTAGCAAAATATAATCTTGCGAAAAATAAGTAAAAAGTTTATTTATATCCAAGATCGCTAGCATTTAAAGATATCTTTTAGTATACTCACCCGTAACTAATTAATATCACTTTATGTATACATTGGGAATATAAAAGCGAACCCAAAATCAGCACTACTAGAGGGGACATGACGTTTCTCCAGAAGAAACCTCAGAAGACTATTTCATCACTTTCTTTGCTAATCGCATCGAACCGTCGAGCCCGACAAGTTCCAAGTTGCACTTGAAATAAAGCCACGTCAGTAGTTCGATGGGGTCTTAAATTTCATTTCACACAGCAATCGATGTTGTGTTTACATTGAAATCATGATAAGCTGTATATTATTTACTTTGAGTCAATGTCATAAGAGGCAGGGAGAGGACTAAAGACCAAAGTAATACAAAAATGTATTCTGTTAAAAATTGTATATTCTAAGACCTTAAATTATTAAAAAAAATTATAAATAAAATACTTATAAACTATTATTGAGCTAAATGATGGGGTTTAAACAGGCTTTGCTGGAATCTAAGGGCCCACCAATTCGCTTGCTCAGCTGTGTTGGGGATGTTGAAAGTCCAATTCATTTCCTCCAGTACTTTTTTGCACTCATCGTCATTATCATCATCCTCCTTGCTCGTTCGTCATTATCGGGCCGGAGAATTTCAGCTGTCATTACTTTTTATGGCCCAGCAACATGATGCACTTGCCCTGCCCCATGTGGTTGAGCTGGCTCTGCTGGAAAAGTGTGGGTGGTTGGGGAAACGATGGGCGGTGGCGGTGGCGGTGGCGGGGGTGGTGTTTTGTAGCTGAGGCTGACTGGCAGTTAAAATATAATTTCAGGAAAGAAATCATCATAGAGCTCGAGCAGAAGCCCCAGAGTCGGGAGGCAGTAAAAGTAAAACATCAAAGTGAATACCAGGGTGGTGCCGGAAGTGTGGTGGTGCAAGGAAGCTGCTCCGTTTGTCACCGCTAGAGGGCGCCACGGGCGGTGGTGGTGGGCGGTGCAGGCGTTTGTCAAGAGTGAATTGTAAAAGAACGCATTTATCCGAGGTCCTTTCCCATCCACATGCGTCTGCATTTTGCCCCTTCCACAGTCCCTTCTTCAGCTCTCCCACTGTTATGTTTCATTTTTCACTTATCTGCATGTGAATGCCTTACAGAGAAAGAAATTTCACCATATAAATAGCTGTGCAAACAGCAAATATAAAGGTGTACAGAAATTCCCCTAAACCGATTTCAGACAGAAAACTCACCTACCTTTATAATCTGTTGAAGTTTCTTTAAGTATTTCTTTTAAAACGAATAAATCACATCAAAAGTAAGTATACAAATTTTCAAATCAGCACAGATATATATATAGATATATCTCAGCTATCAACAAAATATGATCTAAAAATCGTGAATGAATATAGAAGAGGAAATTCTTTTGGAAACTTTTTGGTGGTGCAGAAACGGCAGTCATCCGAGCCCACCCACCCGCGTTTTAAGCTGCAAATTGTCAGCCGTTTGATTGTGTAATTGATTTAGCGAGAAAACTCGTTCGGAGATAGACTCTGTCAGCCGACCAAAACCCCCGGACTTCCTCCCTTTCCATCCGCCAATCCGTTTAAAGTCGTTGGCTAATTAAGTTGCGTCCCAAAATGGCAGCAAAGTGGAAAATGAAAGGGGATGGTTGGAAAAAATGCGAAGGACTCGCCGTTTTTTCTCTTATCGTTCTGGTCATAAATGGGACATACCATTTTACACCGCCACCCAGCACCACCCACCGAATGTAACGATTTCAATTGCCAGTCCTCGACACCAAAAGTTTACGATCGCTGCTGGTGTTTTTTTATTTCGGTCTTAATTTTTATAAATTTCCTCTACCCTTCATAAAGGTATGCCAATATTTTTACTGCATAAGCACTTCTACTTCAAAAAAAATGTACTTTATAAAAATTTAAATATTTTAAGTAAATAAATAGAAATAAAGTCAATGAATTAAACAATTTTGTTTAGCTTGAAAAGGGTATTAAATGATTGTACTAACATTTTTCCTTATTATATGACTGGCACTGTCTGGTGGGACATTAATTTTAATGTCGTCGAAAGGCGTTTAAAATAAATTTGGACAGAAAAATAAAATATAATTCAGTCGAGCGGTCGTTAAAAAATAGACCCCAGCCGTGTTTACCTATAAAAAGACTAAATAGATATAGCATGGTAAATGCTTCGATATCTGGCGAGTGGCTGCGGAAAAGGGGGATTTCTGTGGGAAATTCAGCATTTGAGCACGCGAGTTTTTATTACCGTCACAATGAAATGGTAGAGTGGGCTCAAAGCAGCCAAACAGTGAGGTGGAAAAGTATCTGTACCCCCAAAGCCCCACATAAAAACACCATAAAACTCAAAACCCACCGCAAAGTGGGGAACCTGTGCGAACTTGCCAAAAACAATATTTTTAATCATATTCCGAAATCGATGCAGATGGTTCAGATTAAAAGTGGCACGCTTGCTATTTGAGATATTCCTTATATTATATTATTTTATTAAATTATCGATGAAAAATATGATTTACCATATGAAAAAAAGTTAAAGCAACAACATAAAACAAAGGCCAAACAAAATTATGTACTACTACTACTTATAACCTACTTAAATTTACCCCTAACATATTCACTTGAATAAGAAAGCCAAGAGCAATAAATTAATTAAAACTACGAAAAAATAAAATCTGGTATCCACTTGTTTCGAAAGCTTTCCTATTATATTAATTTAAAAAGTTTAAAGACTCTTCGCATCCTCAGATGCGGTTTGTGCAACCCTCGAACCGAGGGGAAATTAGCTTTTAACACCCGAAGAGAAAAATTGGTACCAGAACTCTGGGGAGGGGGGAGAGCGGTGTGGCAGAGGCTTATTTGAAACGAATTTTAATTAAAACACAACGGAAAAGTTTCGGCTGGGACAGGAAACTTCCCCTGCTCTCTGGCCGTACACTTAAAGTTAAATCCCAGAACTGTCAGGCACTGTGCCCGCCACTCGTTCAGGTCCTTTGATTATGACAGGGGTATATATTTCAGAGATAACAACTAGGACGCAATTTAAGAACTTTTTAAAATAAAACAACTTTTCAGATATTCTTTTTCACGTGACATATCACGTAATAGGAATTTAAAACATCGAATGCATTGTTTTTCTTTATTTTAAATACCGAAAATCCTGCGAAACAAGGATATCTTTACAAATATTAGCATATCTTTATTCTAAAAGCTTTTTGAATAAAGTGGGTGGTAGGCTTCAATCAGAAAACCTTTTTACAATCCATCTGTATACAGTATTTTACAATAATTCAGATCAAAGATATACGGGAAACTGTGTGTGTCTTGTACAATCGCTGTAGATTCTCGATGCGTTGCAGCATCGATGGTCGTAAGCGATGCCACATGAGGTACCAGTGGTCCACATTGGGGAACTCAATATCATCCGCAAAAAGTTTGAGCAGGGCGGCTCTCATCGGAGGTCCGTAACCCCATCGAACCACATAGGCATCTGCGGCGTACTCGAAGTGCCGAATGAAAAAGAATACTATCCAAGTGCTGATGTCATGATATATCGGCATTAGGTACTTGTACACCAGCCAGAACCCAACTGTTTTGGGATACAGGGTCGTGAAGCCCGCAGACGAGTAAAGGGTCTGCCAGTTGTAGCACAAACCGAAGAGGACTAGATATATCACAAGATTCAGCCAAATCAGCGCCAAGGTCTTTGCCACATGCCGCAAACGCCAGTGGGCCAGTTGGTGGGCCACAAAGGCGGCCAGTTGGTCGTCCTTGAGACCAGCTCCCACCTCACCCGAATCGAGGTCATCCGAGGCCAGGCCGCGGTTCAACTTCAGGTTATCGTGGATGTCCAATCGCAGGCAACAGAAACAACCCATCACCCAGGCCGTGGGTCGTCCTACATGGAAGGTGTGAACCAGATAAACCCGTCCCGGAAAATCGAAACTATCCAGTACATCTCGCAACTCGTCATCAATATCCGAATCCTCCATTTTGCGGCTTTTGCCTATGCAGGGCACTCCGAATATTCCGACAAAGCCCAAAATAACCAAGGACGTGCCCACCACAATGAGCCAAACGAGCAGGATACAATACCAAACATTCAACTCCTGAAGGGCCATGAAAATCGCTGTTAACGGGATGATTGCAATCTGTGGAAAAGTCACTAAGTGATATTGGAAAATAAAAACTAAATATGTAAAATTAGCAATGATTAAATACTTAAATCTACTAACCATTACGTCGTTAACTAATTTATTACATTTTTATTATCGCAAAATAGTTAATCCGAAACGCTTAATAGTTTGGGTTAATGTTTCGGATGAAAAATGAACATTTAAAATACAAAATTTATTTCGTAGACTTCCTTAAACCCTTAAAAGTAACTGTTAAAAAACCCACCTGCAGTAAGACCACGATAAAAGCCAGGGCACAAATCATACCCACTAATGGGGGAGACTTTTCTGGATCCACTTTGAACTTAGGATCCAGCACAAGTTTCTCATAAAATAGAGATGGCAACATGCGAATCACCAGATAAGTGGAAAACATGGCCATAAAAGTCACATTCAGCCAAATATCGTCCGCATAGCCATACCATTCCACCGTCATCTTCCAAATGTACGCCAAAGTAGAAAGGTACATGTCAAGGCAGCTATATGCGGTATCGAGTACCAGATCGAAAACCTCTAGATATGAAGTATGAAGTTGCTTGTTCTTGGAGGCCTGGAAGAAGTATACGTTTTAATTGATAAGGAATGTCATAATTATTAAAATTGTTCGTAAATGATACCATCTTCTACATATTCGACCGACATGGAGAAAATATACAACTTCAACTTTTAAGAACCCACCTCAAAGGCATCTGGCGACATAGTACCATCCAATTGCGGCGGTGGAGCGATGCTCTTTCTGCACAATTTTATTTGCCGGCAGCAGAGAATTAGATGAAAAAAGTTGTGAACTAGTATTATCAGGCAGAGGACGTGGCGCAGAAGAATCGGATCTGAGATGTCTGCTTTCTCGGGAACCATGTCCATGCCGATTTCATGTCCCGATATTACCAAATGTTCGCCATGCAGAGGGTCTTGATAGAGTGCGTATGTATGCATAATAAGAAATTGAGCTTTGAAGGGGTTGATACTGTTATAGTGTAAATACTAATAAAAAAGTATAATAAAATGCAAAAATGATCGAAAAACAAAAGTTTACTGAACAAAAACAAAATATTAAAATTCAATTCGGTCTATCCGAAGGTTTTTAAAAGTCTTATATTTATAAAATTGGATTTATTGTATTTATGTTTTTATTCAAAGAAAAGGTTTTCAAAGAAAAGTAACCAGTTTTAGCCAAAAAACAGGAATCTCCCTATAATCCCGAAAGAAAAGTAACCAGTTTTGGCCAAAAAATAGAAATCTCCTTATAATCCCGATCCCAAAAGGGACCCGGATTACTTTCCTACCAATCGAGGGCGAAAAGCGGGTTCTAAGCGTTGACTAGTGGAAGCCAAAGATTACAATGGCGCCAACGAAATTACAAATATGTACCCAGAAAGCAAAGCATGTGTGGTGGTTAGCTTGTGTGCAATGGTTCTTTGTAGTTTGTTTCGAGGATTTGAACTTCTTACGCTTGGCATATCAATAATGAGGCTAGGGCTTGGCGGGATCCTAGGGGGAATTGTGTTGCCAAGCTGGCTGCTTTGATGGTTTCGGTTCAACGCCATTACTTAACCCGCCCCCTCCCGCCCTCTTAACCATACATATGAACACACACACCACACACACACACACAAATGCGCGAACATTCACTTGGCATCTCTAATTAGTAGAATTTAATCTTCACACTATGGCAACGTCAAACGTCCCGAACTGCGACCTCCCCAGCCACCCCTTCTTGCCTTACTTTGTTCCACCCATTGCGCTGCTCATTATGAAAAATTTCAAATTAAAAAGACGAGGGGAGTGGAGCCGGCACGGAGAAAAATATATCCCTATCAATAAAAAATTAAATCTAAAACATATTTTATAGAAGAAACTACAGGACATGTCTATTGATTGATCACTTGATTTGGTCACTTTAAATAAAGAAAAATCAAAATTGGCACCGCGAATTCTTCAGAATAGTATGCCCAAAAATTCCAATACTTTACCTTTATTTTGGATCCAGAAATGTCGCATTAATTAATTTTATGTTCTTTTAATCCATCTGTATAGGTAAGGCACACAGTGGCGTATCCAGGATTTGGTTGTGGGGGGCTTTCAAGAAAAGTTTTGGACTGCACACTTTTTGATTACCCCATTTTCTTTCACTTTATTGCCCATATACCATCATATATCATATAATGTTTTCAAAAAAAGTAGTAGTATAGCCCACAAATTTTTCTCCGTGTGGAACAAAGTAAAAGTTTCTCGGAAGAAGTTACGGTAGGATTTGCATAAATACCAGGACATGTGCGGCCGTGTGTGTGTGTTAGTATCACACATCATGATTACATAATTTAGCTATTAAAACAGCGCCAAGTGGCTGGCTAAAGCGAGAAGGAGCGAGTGGGCCAAAAAGTGAGGGACCGGGAAAGAAGGCGGCTTATTTATGCCTCAACACGCCGTTTGGCGCAGCTTCAAAGGATCCGAGGCATGGGTGGGCGCTGCAAGGGGGGCTCTTGGGGGACGGGGCTAGTGGTTGAGGGGGGGGCACAGCCTGTGAGGGGTATTCCAGTTCAACGGCACACATGTGCACTTGATTTACTCATTAGCGTTACTTTTCTGTTCATAATAGGGCGCTTACCAAGCCGGAAACCGCAGCCGCCTCAGCACCCCCTCCCCTACCCCAGCCCCTGCCTCATTTCCAGCCCCCCCCTACCCGCCCATGGCAGCCACATTTGGTTTCATTTCGAACCGTTCGGGATGCGTTGCTATAAGCCGCTTAGGCGTATCCTTTGTGCATGTGTAATTGTGCTGGCCCTCGCACACTGCCCCCCTCCCCCACTTTTCATCTTTCCCGCCCCTCACACACACACTCACACGCACACACCCACGACTAAGCCCTAATAATCCCCACTATTTGGCCAAAAGAAGGAGGGAAAAAAGGTAAGACACTGGCAAAAAGTTTCCTTCAATCTTTTTTTACACATATGTATCTTCAAATTTCAGAAAGAAAGAATATTTTTTAATGTATTTTAAATTAAAAAATAAAAAAAACGAATGGTTTTTTTAATAAATTATATTTTTAAGCAATTAAACCACAACTTAAAGATTTTTAAGTGATAACTTTTAATAAAGCTAACGAAAGGATTACACTTGAATTGGTTATATTGGTTCAACAAAAGTCTTAGAATACGAAAATTATTATGTTATATTGTTATACATTTTCAAGGAAATCCCTTTCCTCGAAAATTTCTCTCAGTGTACATGCGTAACTAAGTAGCAACCCAAAATCACTCTGCCCATTTTCGCTTCTCTCTCTATTCTTGGGTAAAGTCAAAATTTAGCATTTCACATTTGCCAAAGGCCCAAAAAATCTTCAATTGGGCTTCCTTGACAACCAAGGATACATTTTGCAGCTACTGTTTGTAAATAGTTATCCAGAAGGAAAGGTTTACTGGGCTGGCAATCAAGATGGGCCTGGATTTCATCTCACAAAGGGGTATATAAATAAAGATTTACTTTAAATAGAGTTGAACCTTGACAAATTGCACTACTTCCAGGAATTATCTAAATTAAAAGTCTTACCCGTATCAAATTGAAATGGTCTTAAGTATTGTCAAAGGAGACATAAAAAGCTTTTCATTTAAAGTATAAGTTACTGTAATGGACTTTTTAAAGTGTTCTAAGAACACAGAACTCATGATATAGTAAAGTTACATAGCCTTGTATATTTTTGTAAGCTCCCCGAAAAACATCTCTTCTTTGAGACCATCTTAGAAATTATAACCTAGCATTATAAAGTGTACCACATTTTTTAAAACCCAAAAACATGGGATTTAAAGAACCTTTCTAACTTCCCTCTGAAGTCACAGTACGATTTAGTTGAATTATAGCTGAGGTAATCCCAAGCCGTATAATTATGTGGTTTTGACTCCAGACAGAGGTTGAACAATTTACCTAAGGGTTTGATAAATTTCCTCAGCTCCTTGGGCCGTCCTGCCCCGAGTTGTTTGATATATATGCCCTGCTACCTCAATTATATTGTGCAATTGGGTAGGAGATAATCCGAAACTGAATCGGATTTGTTGCGGTCAAGTTGTGTGCCGTCATCTTCGGCAATCGATGGGCTCCTCTGTCGTAGAGCACTTGAATCTGGGGATTCGGCTTCGCTGGCCATCTATTATGCGCGATAAGATCGCAACGTGAATAGAAGTTTCCGTTCCGTGATAAAGGGATTTTAAATTAATAATTCACTCTCGCTGCACGAACGTGAAAAACGTCGGAAAATTGCTCAATTTTCCATGCGAACAAGGTAAAACGGTGGAGAGTCGGACAAAAAAAAAGAAAGAGAAATTTATGCTAATTTTTCGACAACTATCACTGCCCCAACATCGGTGGGACGTGGACGGCAACCCACCCGAAAACGCAGAGCCACCAAACCTGATGGTCATGTAATGTCGACGGAGGCAGCGTAACGAAGTAACCTAATTAATTTGTGGCACTCATTAGCAACAATTGAAAATGCCGAAGTCAGCAGAAGCAGCTCCTCCAACCAGCCCCTCCCCCTTTATTCCCAGCCCCCTGTCACTCGTCAACTCAACCAGAAGTTGGAAATGTCCATAATGAGTGTGGGGATTCGACTAACGCCCCTGCCCCGCCCCCAGCTACTCCAATTCGCACCATTTTGTTCACGAAAAAAATAAGTTTTGGTGGGGTAAAAGTATTTATGGGTATTCCATTAGAAGAATTCTTAATACTCTTGTAAAAAAAATACAAAAAAACTTATAATAGTATAATATAAATTATAATATTTTAGTATAATATTTTTTTTATTTTATTTTTTTTTATCGATTTATATTCCGTAACAACATCTAAGGATCGGAAAATTGGTTTTATAAACATTGCCTAATTTTTAAATACTGTATTTCCACTAAAAGAAATCAATAAATATGAGGATACATATTTTTTTATAAAGCCATGGTCAAAAGCCTGCTTAAATGTTTAAACCTATTTGTTAACCACTTTAAAGTAGAAGTAAACCTTTTCGTGGACTTAAAATAATTATAACTGGTACTCACGATTTTCCAAGCGACATATTTATGTTCCTTATATTCAAATGCATTGCATATTTAAGTACCTAAAATTGATTTGACGTGATCTGAATTACACTGCAAACATACACGACCAATCTGTTTTAAAACCGATTTGGGTATATGAATATGCTATAAATTACCGCACATGTGCAACGTGACTCATTGAGTTCCCATACTTTCCTTTGCCTTAGAAAACCCATAAATTTGTACCACTCACGTTGCCTGAAACCCAAAATGTTGTCTATAAACGCCTAGTATACACAATTAAAATGTTTACTTTCATCAAACTGCAGTTTTTAAAAATTGAACTCATCAGTTCCCATCAAATGTCACTTATTCAATTAGCCACCCAATAATATCTTTTTATTGAGAGTGTCACAAATAAAGACGCTTCCGCACATTCTTCAGTAGTCCTGGGTTGTGCACTCCTCCCAATCTATCAATTAAGATTAATGTCCGATTCGATGGATCTCTCGATCATTTATAAGACTTGTTTCGGAGACATCTTCATCGCAGGCAGACGACCGATCATCGATCAACACTGAAATGTTGTCTAAGCAGCTTGCTTTCGACTTCCTGAGATCTTTCGGCTAATGATCTTTTTCTGGGCCAGAAAACAATCGCAACCTTGAACCTTTGAGAGGTTATCACTTTCAAAGAGATAAGGGGTATCTTTCTACCCATTTAAAAATTTGTTCAACAGGTAAATAGAAAATATAACAACTTAGTTTACCGATATTTTCTTTTTTATTAGTAAAATCCATTTTATATGTCTAAAATAAATTTTTTTTTATATTCAGCCCTAATTAAGCATATTAAATGATAGCTTATAGAACCCTGGTAGGATAAGAAATACAATAAAAATTCCTGACGTCCCTGGCCACTTCTCA